TTGTTTTAATTTTTTTTGTTCTGGTTTACTATCCTGTACCTTAACCAGATCAGTTCAGAACAAGACCTAACTCCCCTATCCAATGAACAATACAGTTTTATTCTAATTAGTATTTTAATTATGTTTTTCTTGAAAGAACCAAAACCACATACCGTTGAAACTTTGGATATTTCAGCCCGAATATGTATGAGATCCTCCTGCAAAAGTCTCTGCTGGTAAGAAATTTTTTCTGCATGTTGCGGTTGCTCTTTGTACTGTTCCAGCTGCCTGTGTAAAACCTCCAAAACAGATTCCAGCTGATCCTGACAAAGAAGAAGATGGCAGCAAGCTTATATACAGCATTTACATGGGATTTTATGGATCTCCCTGTGGGAATAGAAAAGTTTTTATCCACACCCCCAGTCTTTCCTATAAGCCACTAGAGGTTAGGATTGGCCTCCTGTCATTGAGACTAAGATGTAAACGAAAAAGTGCAAGAGCCTTAAATAACTATTATAACCAAAATTATCTTGTATTTTCCATTAAATCTTTCCATTAAGTAGCCAAAACTGTGGAAAACCTAAAGCACCAAGAGGTGATTCTTTCTATTTACAGTCTGTACAAAACTGTAACTTACCGTTTCAGAAAAATTCCCTTAAGCAGTGCAGAACTGTGACAGTCCTACCACAGCGCAGCATTAGCTGCTTATTTAAGGACAGGTTCTCATTCGCTGCTATAGTTAAATTAACCATGTGAGGGATTAAAATACTGTCTAAAACACAAAGTAGGCCTGATTCATTCAGTCAGGAGTAAATAACACTGAATCATTTTTGCACAGCAGCTCTTCTGAAGCATCCACCTGGACAGTACTTTCATTTTAGAAGAGATTCTTTTCTGAACCACCTTGATTTATTGACAGCTATAGCTCATAGGCAGTTAAGCAGATAAATATACATACAGGCAAGGAAAGACAAGGACAGGGAAACCATTCAGTTACTGTTTACTATTTGAACTCTGACTTGAATGGGCACAGAGGAAAGGAAGAGGGTTCTAACTACAAACTTGTCAGAGAAGATATTCCAGCATTTCAGTCATAACCCTCAGAACTAAGTTCACAGTAGTATATATAAACCAGCATAGGTTTCTGAAACTACTACAAATTTCAGTATCTCTCCCTTCTCTCAGTCCTCTTTTTCTTCTTTCTTTTTTTAAAAAAACAAAACCAAAAACAACAAACCACCACACAAGTTACAGTGAGAGCTCAATATGGTAGCACCCTGCTATTTATGCAAACAACGTTTGCGCAGGTGGGAAGAAATGCAAAGGAAACATGACTCAGCTTCCCACCATATACATATTAAGACATAAAGCAAAACTACACACAAAAGTGTATGTACCCCAATCTATGATAAATGCCAGAAAATTCAATGTATATGGTTTCAAAATATTCACTTTCAAAAACATGTTTTCTAACAGTGGGTACTCAATCCTAACATAAAAACCAATTCTTTGCCTTATATAAAGTTTACACACATGTCCAAAGGAAACTACTACAATGCAAGCAGCATCCAGTAATTCGATTTTTTGTTTATAATTCCATATTTTATGATTAGATGAAAGTTGTTATTTTTACAGAACCCTTTTTAATCTACTTACTTTATTTTCCTTAAGGGCTCTTATTTTGTCCTCCAAGTCCTGCAGAATTCTGTCCTGCTCACAGAAAATGCTTAGCTTGACCTGACAATAAAATCATATAAATATATAACGTTAGATTTTAAAAAACAAGCAGAAAAGTCTCCACTAGCAATATTTTACCCCAAAGACAATAATCATGTGAACATGTAACAGTACAACATAAATAGCTAAAACAATGCAAGAGGTTCTGAAGTGGTATTTGATACTTACATCAATATCACTTTCTGCAATCTTGACAGGTTTTGTACTTCGTTCCTTTAACAAGTCACGCCCTGTCACCTAAGAGGAACAGGTTTTAAAGATCTAAGAAATTTGTTGCAAACTAAAACCTAATCATGCTTCAACAATGAAAAGAAAAGTTTTGATAAATATTCACGGTTATTAACAAAGATGAATAAGATTTTGGATACAAGTCTTTTCAAATATGGCTTTAGTTTTTTTAAAAAATGTTATCAGAAAGGATTGCTAGTTATATTAGACTATTTAATAACTCTTACAGTAGCTTAAAATTCTGTACAAAACAGCATAATCCCACCTGTCTATGGTTATAAAGGTCCTGTTCCTGCAAAACCCAATAGTTTTAACAGTTGAGCTTTAACAGCTTTCTTGAAACCAAAGGACTCGAATAAGTCCTTTAAATGCGTGGTTGCAAGAATAACAGCATTAATTAATGACTAAACCCACAACTTTTTGGCAACTATTTCATTCTACAAAGGATAGTCTCTTCCATAGTACAGGGTGAATTTTATTTAAGACAGATTGCTATAAAAGTGCTAGAGTGGAATTAAATGTAATTGATCTACCTTGACATAATATACCAAATCTCTCATTCCATAAATCACTGGTTTCATATTCAATTTCTGGTGAGAAGATTATCTTGTCACATAACACAGTTTTTAAATCAGTACAGAAACTATATTATATTATAGTTCCAACCTTCACAGCAATCTTAAAATGAAGGCATGTCTATCTCTGTAGAAAGGTTTATTATTTCCACTGTCTACATGGGACCCTTTTTGTGAATAAATGAGGTTAAGAAAACAGCAATATAATACAGCTCATTAATCATACAGTTTTTAAAAGCTTTAAAATCTAATGACTTCATATTACTAGATTAGAACACTTTTAAAGATTCCGTAAAGCAAATACTATCTTACCAAAGAAACACCTGGTGTTTAGAAGTATAGTACTCGTACATTTCAGTATATTTCTATTCATATACAGGCAAACGTTTATGAAGAAAAAGTCACCTAAATATTGCCTTTAATAGTGTCAGAACAGAAGTTTTAATACAAGAGTAGAAGTTGTTGGCCTTTCTGGTGGGGTAGAAGGGGTAATTTGCTTTTGTACTGACCGACTAGCAATCTCCAGACTTGAAGCTACATCATTTACTTATTAATCTAACAGGCACCTACAGGTTCATGCTAGCTTTCTTAAAGTAATTAAATTTTACTGTAAGTGTAGATAAATCTTTGATACAACCTGAGTTTCTCATCTAACATGTTATATGAAGTCAGCCATCTACACATAACATTTTCAAATAACAAAGTAGGTTTAAGACAGAAGAGTATGGTCATCCTTTATGTTTGCTGTCTTCTCTCCTCCAATGGCAGACTCCATTCAAAGACTTATTGTGTGTTTTCATGCAGTGAAATCTTACTTCCCCACCAACAAAATCAAAAGCCTTTACTGCCTGTCAAAACTTTCAATTTTCAGATATTTTCATTTTCAACAAAAATGCGTTTCATATAAGAAAAATCCTTTCTTTCAAAAGTATTAATGGAATTATTTAAATGCTAAATTCTATGTATAATAGTAACAAATAATTAAATATAAGCATAAATACGAACATGTCAAAGTAGTAATTTTGCATATTTAATTCAAGCTAAGAGAATGCAAAAGCCTTTTTCAAAGCAATGGAATTAACATAAAAACCAGAGTCTAGAGATTTTTGGGATATTTTAAATTACATAATCAGAACCATAAAGAATTTGTTAATTATCAAGCAGTGAACATGAGAACATAATGAAGATTTAGCATGCTTTCACATTTTCAAAATTACACATAGGAGTCACTACTTGACACAATCATTTTCAAAACATGATAAAATGAAACCAAACACTGAGGACAGCCATAATTTAGCACACAGACTCCAAAACGGAGGGGAGCGGGCAAGAAAAAAAAAAGGGAAAGAAAAAACAAAATCTCACGGAAAGCATTACTGTTTACCATAAGACACCTGTAAAAGCCAGAATATGTAAACATTGACTGCTATTTTAAAAAGCAATGGGATGAGCACATTTCAGATGCAAGCAGTCTTACATGTATACTGGATAGTAACCCTTGTGCTGAGTTCTTTAGCACTTTGTATATCATGTTGATCAGAGGTCCATTATTTTCTATCTGTTTCAAACAAAAGTTCAGTAATAGCTTGTTATAGACGTAAAAATTAAAAACCCCAAACCTTAGAACTCAAAACTCCATCAGCAGCAGTAATCACATGCTCATAAGTCACACCAATCCTTGAGGTTTATCGTCTATATAATCCGCCATTACGGAAGCTACAACTGGATATCTACCTATCTTGTTATATTGTGGATAGACTGTTCATCCAACCATAAGATCTTTTTACTTTTGCAACACACACATAGAAACACGCAACACAAAACAGGATTTGCTCAGACTTGTCCAACTGCAGTTTCAAGAGTGTTGGGAATTACAAGAAGATATTTTCTGTCATGTAATATGTAGTAACGCTGGCACCAACAGCTCTCTATTGATAATTTGAGCAACCTAGTTAAAACCTCAGTGAAAAATGTTATTTCACTCACACTTACCCTTCCTCCCAGAACAAATACCTGCCATTCACTATTTCCTTCATTACTTATGTGACACAAGCTTGCACTAGCAACCTCTTTCGACTGCAGTAGAAACTAAACAGCTTCAGGTATTACAGTATGACTGCGGACAAATGAAGCAGGACCACGGCCGAACCACTGAGAGGGCCCCAGATTTGCTTGAACTGGTTGCACAATTTATACTTAGTGACACAAACTTTCCTATACTTCCTCATCCATATTATGTATAACGTGCTTGGGAATGTTTGTGAAGTATTTTGAAGCGAGGCTGCCCACCCATCCCTCCTGTAGCCTGCTTGAACTTGATTTCATAGTCACAAAAAGGGAAGCTTGCTTCACCACTTGTGTTTCATCTTATTTGCAAAGTCATCTGAGAAGTTTGTGGGGAAAATTGAGTTTCTCTTTCCTTTGCTCTTCCTTTCTGCTTTTCTAATACAGAGTCTATTCACTTTAGAGATAAACCAACTGCGGAAACACAACTGTGGAAATCTGTTTGCAGAGGAGCCATGGTTATGCTACAGTAGACAGATACACCAGTTCTTTCATGCTCCACATACCTCTATTTCATGAGTGAAAAAAGAAGAGAGAGTCGTCATAACAATTTTCAGGGAAAAAAATTGTTTGTAATCTAAGGGCAACATTGTTAAAGGAAACCTCCATAATGCACGGTATTTGGCAAGTTCAAAATTATGAGTAATATTCCTCATAGTGTTAGTAAACAGCCTTTAGCCTTTTTTTGGTATGTCAGAACTAGCTCACATGCAAGAGAAAACTACTGAAATGGATTAATATCGCTACAGCATTTTTATTTCATTTACAGTTATGACAATACACTACAATGTTGAACAATATCATCTTGGTAGTAACATAAAAATTATTCCTTAGACACTATATTTAAGCTCTTAAGCAATAAGAAAATAGGCTTGTATAAAAGGATAAAAGCAAAGGGAGGACAAAACATGTGAGTAACGACAAATTACTAAATGCTGTGTTACTGGTCACTATAGTCAGTTTTAGTACTATGGCATGCATTATAAAATTAATTGCTTAATCACTATTCCATGTTGAAAAGTTGTATTTTGACACTTCTAAGAAGAGAGATCTTCAGAAATAATGGATTTAGTGAAAAGAAAAAAGTTAACCCCAGTTCCAAAATCTTCAGTCCTATTTGAAATTGTTTTATCAAAGTGGGTCTTACTCAAAGCCCAATGAAGCCAAAAGAGTGACTTGAATTAACAGGCTTTCTATCTAAGCCTTCAGTGTTCTAAATGAAAGGTACCACATATATTAACTCTGAATCTACCATATTCCACCATTACCAAATCAGTACGTAATTTGCTTAGTTTCATCCAGCACTCTATTCTTTTTTCCTCATACTGCAAAACAAAGCATTTCTACATTTAGTGGCTAAACACAAATTTAACCAATACAAAGATACCTTCTCAAGCTTCACAGGGTCTCTTTAATCCCTCAGCAACCTGACCTCAATTTTTACATTTCCAGACCACTATTGAAAGAAGGTTATTAAGAAATGCCCATCTTGAAAAGTTACATCATTCTTATGCAAACACACTTGAGATTTTGACTGTCAAGATTTTCAAAAGGGAACTAACGCTAACATTAAGTTTCTGCGCAGAGAAAGATCAGATGCCCCCATACATTTCTCTTTCTGGCTGCTTTCATCAGGTGCTATGCAGGCTGCACGAAGGCACATGGGGAGTTCCTGGGAGACCAAATAGCTCTTCATGTCCTGAATTGCAATAAATCAATCCATATGGAAGACACACAAAAGTTAAAAATCCATCCTAAGAATTTTGCTAAGCATGTAACAGTTTCAGAGGCTTAAACTGTGGCCACTTTTAATTGTGAAAATTGTTGTGTTTTATAATGGACAAAACACTGTGTTTATTAGTAATTTCTCAAATTGTAGGACCTTTAAATCAAAATTTGTCATAAAATTCAGCCGACGGCTTGGGATACAATTACATTTGGCAAAGCCATGAACAAACCAAGAACAAGGTCTAAAGTGAAATATGTCCAACCAATTAGAAATTTGTATATTAATGATTAGAACAGTTTACATATTTGATCATTTAGACTATACATACCATGTGACAAATATTCTATTTTTATATATACTACACTATACATACGTGTAGTATGTACTACTAGTATTTTCCATTGATATATTTGGTTATATATTCAGCCATTAAAACATTAAAATAAAATTGAAATACACATACTAATAGGTCCAGTCAGCTCATTAATTGCACATATGCACGCTCCATGGCATCAGTAAGAACTATGCACATGCAAACAAGGACAAGGTGTCAAGTTTCACTCCACCTTGATTTTTAAAAACACCATATGATACATATACGGTGTGACATCCTACACACTATAGAAAGTGGCAGACTGCTTTGCTAAGCAAAATGATTATATGTTTTGTGGTTTTTTTCCTTCAAAAGCCAATATTAGTAAGTCTAGCTTTGCTTTCAAATTGCCAACTATCAGGTGCACCAGATACAGAAGTAATTTAGTTTAGACAGATGCTTTGATGCTCACTTTTAAATTTTTTTTTTTAAAGGAAATATCACGTAACGTTATTTCGGCAAATTATATTTACAGATGGATGGATGGATGAATGGGTGCATTTGGAATCTCTTAGCTGTAATAATATGAAAACAATGACAGGTGCTAATTAATCACCACATTTTTACAAGAAAGACAGACATAAATACAGCATATTATAAAAACAAGGAAAAAGTCAGCTCAAGAAGATTTAAAGGGAAAAATCTGGATTAAAAGAACACCTTTTTAACTTGGAGGAGTTGACTTCATATTGGATCCAGTTCTACAGTAGACGAACATTTTGAATCACTTTTTTATCTGATTTCACTAAACCCACAGAATATCATTCATTTCTAGTACCAGTAACACAAGTTCTTCCTACAAACTGAAGCAATTACATTTTCTGAGTTTGCACTTTAATTATATAGTCACTACTATAAAGAGACACTCAATAGTCTAAGCGCAACAGTGATGGCAAGACACAGTTTCCATCTCTAAACAGAAGGTGATTTGAAAACCTGCAGGTACAAAGATGATACACAAAAGACCACTGGGTTAAAACAAATAATGGAAGTAGACTCCTATAAAATCTTACCTTTAGATCCAAATACTCCAAATCCTTTTTCAACTGGATATAAGTGTCATCCGCCTTCAGGTAAGTACATAGGAAAACAACAATGCAATGTATTTGAATGTTTGAAACAATTTCAGAATACTTGGTTATATACAGGAAAATGGATGAAAGAGGAAACAAAGTAACAGAGTAGGAACTACATAAAAAAGCACATTTGCACCACCAGCATATTGTTATCTACAGCTGAAAAATGGGCAAAATATTTCCCAAGAATATTACCACCTCATATCCACCCTCCAAACATACAGATTTCAGTTTTCCACCTCTAATGAGACATGTAAATACATCACACAATAGATTTTCAAAAGTTATTTTTTCAAGATCAATTTCTACTGACTATCCCTTCACTGAAAAAGTTATGGTGTAGCCCTCCAGCACAATTTGTCTCTTTGGGAGAAGAGAAGACTTGTACCTAACTGAATGTCAGATGTAACTAGAAGCCATCATATAACAAATCATTAGAATACTTTCGGTCACATTTCATACACGTTTTAAGATAGGAATTCCTTTATTCAGGGAAAGTACGAAATAAGTTTTGTGAATAAAATACTGAAAAAGATCTCACTTTTATGATTAGAGAATCCATTTTGTCTTTTAAGTAACAGCATCCAACTTGTTCCTTATTTTTCATTGGCTCACCTGTAATTGCTATCAGCTTAATTTTCTAGTTACATTCATGTATTAACATTACAGTCACTACAAGAAAAACATGCACAGAAGTCATAACAAAGTTATTTCTCCTTTTTTCAAAAAGGGTATTTGCAATACAGAACAAAATAAAGTTTAACTGTTGCAAATGTGCTTTGTAGTCAGCCAAAATGCGCCCAAATTCCTATAATTTTTACTGCTATTTTGACAGGATTTTATATCATGGGTACATTAAACTTCAGAATAAAAGAAAAACACAACGATACCTTTTCTCAAGTTTTGAGCCAATGAGAATGTGTAGGTAAAAAAGAAAAGAAAAACCCTTTATGCCATAAAATCAATAGATCACCTTTGCATTTCTTTAGAGGTGTTCACTTACAATTCTTACCCCATCAGCTTGTAAGTCTGGCTGAGGACTTGACTAGAAAGTCTGCCCATTTTTGGAGAAATCCCTGTTACTATCGCCCATCTTAGTGCAATTGTTCTGTAGGTGAGGTAAGTCGGGAAATGAAATTTTTCCAAATTCAGAAAAACTCCTTTACTTTTGGGCCTATATAAAGCTTTCACCAATTCCGAGAAGAGTCACCACATTTTATTCCCAGGTGGCTCCATTTTTTGAGGCTCTAATACGAACCAAAGAGCTCTGTAAGTACATTTCTGCTTGATCTCACATTTACAAATTTCATACATCAGTGTGCAATCAAGAGCACTGTTGATGATCCAAGATGCCCCACAGCTTTTAGGAACCAACGTTCACCTGCAGAACTGACAGAGTTACAAGCTCATATGAATGTACAAACTGGCTGATGCATCTCAATTTGCAGGTGACGCAGCATGTGGCACAGGGAGCCAATCCCATCATGAAAGCAGCACAAAGAAATGGTTTTGCTTTAAAATGAACTTATCGAATATTTTAACCAATATTTCTGAAGATGCAGCATTTTCAGAAATAGTATAAAAAGGAAGTATACACAACACTTTGAAATATATGCACTGGTGCCCTATAACTTAAAATGCTCATCTTTTATAGCAAATACAGTAGCAAAGAAAAACCGCAAACAACCTGGGAATTGTAGAATACAGAATGGGCAAGAAAGCACAGACTCAAGCATGCCACTAACGAAGCATCTGCAGAGTCACAAAATGTCATACGGCACAATGAGCCACGCAGCAGCTGACCTGATAGGTGGAATTAGTTGGCAAGTGCTGCAGTAATTGTGCGATTGTGTAATTTCGTATACTAGCCAACTTAGCCTGATGTCTCCTTAATCGAATGAGAAGCAATGTTAGCTCTTCAGGCTGCAGGTATTTAGACACATTGTAAAGAGGAAATTAGCAGTCTTCAGGGAGAGTAACTGTAATTACATTTTTCATCTCAGTGCCCAGAAAGCAGTTACTTGACATGATTAAGCAATTATTTCATTAACTTTGCATTTGGTCAAATAAACATAATAAAAGTTGAATCCTGTAATAACGGACCGCTCACCCCCATTCACATTGGAGATAACAGCGAAATTCCTACAGGCTTTCCTGGGAGCTGGTTAAGATTAAGTTCTCATTCAAGTTATTCATATCTTAACTAATAAAAATACTACAACTAATATGGAATGAGTAGGATTTTAAAACTTAACTACAATACTGTGATGACACAAAAGGAAAAGTAACTGCTCTCTCAACTTACCGACTTGCCATGCAAACTGGGTGCGCTCACGGTATGTGTCATGTAGCCCATAGCAGGCATAGAGCGTCGATCAATGTGAGTTGAGCTCTGTAAGAAGCCACAGCCAGAATTGTAAGGATTGTCTCAAGTGAGAAGTATGTTGCACTCGAGGGAAAATTCAGAAGATAGGCACCTCTGCCACAAATTTTCTATTTGAATTCACGGCATTCTTAAATCAGGGTAACATTCAAGGGCCAGCCAGATCCACTGATGATGCTGGGCAGCCCAGCAGATTCTGGCAGCACAAGATGCTTCAGTAGAACATTCAAAGTGGCTTCCAGCAAAAAAAAAAAAAAAAAAACCAGTTCATAAAGTTCTCTCCCACTTAATGTCTCCCAGAGAAAGGCTGGTTAGCTTATGCCCTCCAACAGCAGGCTTGTACTCCACACTAACAGCTGTGAATGCCCTCTTTCAGCCAGGGACCACTAAGCTACTGACATGAGTGACACCTTGTGGCAATGGGTGCCATTAATACCAGTTTTTTTTAAATAATCATGTTTGATCTGCCCCTTTCTGCTTATAGTATGAAAACCTATTACATATCCATTCTTTCATCTTTCTCTTAATGCCAAACTTTTATGGCTTTCTTCAAGGTAGACTAAATGTCTCATGATCTGTTTTTATTCCTGTCTCTGAATTGCACAGAATGCTGTTCTGTTCTGCCTTTTTTTTCCCCCTTTTTTAAAAGTGTAACTGGATGGAATTTAATAAAGCATTCCAGACAGGGAGGAGTATCACAGATTTCTGCAGACACACACATTTAAATGTAAAATGACACTGTGTGCTTACATATAAAAACATGAGCATTTTTCTCTAGAAACTTTTACAGAAGTTTCACAGAAATGTTTTACAGATGAGGAAAACTGTGTTTCCCTATATTGGTAAAACCAGTATGGCATAAAGAGTTTTATTTACAAGTAAAGTTTATGCAGCTACATTGCACAGGAAGACTGTTGTACATTCCTTTGTAAGGAATGTAATGCTCCTTCAACTTACACATGGAGAAACCAATGTCTGGTATAATATACTCAGGAGTTAAAAAATATTAATTTCCAGTGCTGCACTTCACTAGACTATTTCATCCTCTGATAGAACATTATAAATCTATAAATACTGAAAGATATCCAACAGCTACACTGCATATGCACTAGGAAAAAAATCTAAACTGTACATGAATCTGGGATGCAACCAAAAGTCATGGTCCTGAACCCATGCTGGGTATTTTAATTTACAAGTCTCTTTCTTTGCAAATATTTTCCCCATCAGAGCCCATGGTTAAGGTTAAAGAATCAGGTGAATACGGTGGTTTTCATTTCCACTTATTCCAGTGTAAGAGCTACCAAGACAAGTAAATTCTACATTAATTCAATCCTGAATTTCCCTAATTTCCTTCGGCAACGAGACCCATGTGGACTTCCGAATAGGGAAACCTCTGTCACCTCTGAATGAGAGGGTACAACAGCACCTACAACAAAAACCACACTGAAGTTCTCGAGAAGGTTAAAGTTTCAGACCAACACTATTTGATTTTGGTTAGCCCAATGATAATGACTCTGCTTAAACTATCAAACGAATGAAAAAATCATTATGTTTTTAGCCATAACTAAAAACTGAATCAGCTGTAAGACTAACTACACAAAGGCAAAACATGTAGAGAAAGCAGCCACAGCAAACACTGAAGACTACAAGCATAAGCAAATAATCAAGGAAGAGTTCATCTTGCTGAGTTTTATATTCTGGCCTACTTACTCTATATATTAAAATACTACAATTTGTATATTTTATACATTAAACATATTCCTTCCAGTTTTTGAATAAAAATATTCCAAACCAATGTGATGTGCCACCAATTTTCCTTTCCTAACCAACAAAAATTAATAAATCTGAAATGATCAGAAAGATCAAGAATTTTAGGAGAAAAACATTGTATTAACTTTTACTACTTGCATGATCTTCAGACATAAGGAAGGATGCACTCAAAAATTACTAAATTATCACTAGATGACACCCCACATAGAATAGTTTAAAATCAGTTATACTTTATACAAACCTTTACAGCATGATTTCGTATTTTCCTGGGTGATCCAGCCAAAGGAACATCTACAATCTGTCTCTCATCAGATGGTTTAACTGTAAGTCTCTCTGCAGGAGTATGTGGTCTCCTTGGGGGAAAGCTTTTTGGAGGTCCAGGTGGAGGAATATCAGATGGAGAGGGCGGAACAGATATTGATCGTGGAACATCTAATGAACTTTTTGACTTACCACGATCAATAAAGTCTGAAGAACCTACATAAAGTGGGGCAGTGGGGCTGCCATGTTTAAATTGCTGTCTCTGCTGCCACTCATACAGCTGCCAAACAGTTCCATCCTTATTTGCTTTCCTTTCCTCCTGGGACATCTTCAAGTGGCTAACACGATCTTGTGCATATTTGTAGTCACTTGGCAAATTGCGGTTTGGTGGCGGTGGTGAGCTCCCTGAAGTCTGCCTGGTATTCTTTGGCAAAGTGTGATAGTTTTCAGGAAAAGGTGGATTGGGACCCTGACGTGTAAGAGTCTGATCAGAAGTGAGGCTGTAGAGGAGGGGGAAAAAAGGATAAATTTTTAGGATACATTGATGAGTAGGAGTGACTGATTAAAAAAGCATAGGAGCTATAAGGCACAACATACAAGAGTCATTTAAAAAGAATTTACAGAAATATTAAAAAAGTAATATTAATGAAATCTACCTCGCACAAAAATATTACCCTGTATTCATGCAAAGATGCAAATAGTATAAATACAGCCTTTTAATTTAGTGTTTAACTTAGGATGACCTACTAGAAATAAACTTAAGGGTCAGCAACATTATGTACTTAGACTAAAAAGAATGTCAAGAAAATGAAAGGAATGGTTGTGATGTTTAAAGAGCAAATCCGTAGATTATTTCTTTCCACGAAAAGCCTGCTCACCACCAGGTGGTGCAGTTTAGGAACAACAAATGCATGCTCACTATAAAAAATTTACCTTAACGTGCAAGAAGCAATCTCACCAATCACAGAATGAGTATCTCAGATAATTTTTGTTCATGTGAATGAAGCAAAGAAAAAAAGGTAAGAAACTGCTCAGAGTTGCCAGGTCTGTATGATTTACTTTCATCTCACCTAATGCTACTGGTTCTACTGTTTTAAGCAACACAAGGCTTTTTGCGACCAAACTCATTGACAAACCAGAATATAAAAAGAGGTGTTACATCCTGGCTTCAGTACTGCATCTGTAATATACTTAAACTGTAGGAATTCAATCTTCTAGTAGGTAGAGCGTTAAGACAGAATTGGCAAAAGCTTTGACAAAGTGTAGCGAGCTCCCTCTCTGACTGTGAAGTCAAAATCTTTCTGTAGTCTCACGCATAAGACCTGCCTGTCCAATTTCTGATTCAACATCTGGGGGTTTTGTACTTGCAGTCATTTACCCATTGATTCAGGATCTCCAAACAGAGAATCATTCTGCTAAACTTGCTACAGAGCAACAATACAAAAAATAAATAGCAACAACCACCACCCCATAAATGAAGAAACTCAGAGCACGTTCATCACTCCACTTGGAAGGCTCCACTCTGTATAAGAGGGAGACCTGATGGTTTGGGAACTGCAGGAATTCCACATGAAAGAAAGAGCAGGATGGAAAGAAATGTCTTTGTTCAGTATCCAAGAATAACAGAAGCAGGGGAAAAAGAATTGCTACCAGTAACTGCTGCATAGTAGTTGCCTCTGTCTCTTTCCACTTGCACGATTTGACACTGTTGGATTGCCTTGAAATATGGATGCTCTTGACAGGATACATAATTCCTCATACCAGAAAGCAGAATTACTGCCCTGTACTGCATGGAGGACTACAAATTTGTAAAAGCTCTGCTCTCTCACACCACAGAACGTTGATGTTACCTCAAATTTCACAATGAATGTTAAAGCAGGCAGGCAGTATAAACAGAGGCAACTCAAAGATCAGCATTTAGTGGTCAAGTAACCTCTTTTATTTGTCTAGCTCATTACACCATCTGTACTCTCTGTGTTCCGTACTGTACTGCCAATTCTTTCCACATGAGAATCAAAGTGGTTGGTAGAAACGTATTTTCTCAAGATCAGAATGAGAACTGAGAAAGCTTGGAGCAGGTAATGCTTTGAAAGGACATCCGAGAGAGGCATGAAGCTAGGACAGATCCTTTCGGTGATTTCTCTGTGGAAAAACAGGGAAGGGAGGTTGACCATTCCTATACTCCAACCTACTGGAGCCCTCATGAAGGCATCGGCAAACTACTGAATGTTGCCAACCATCTGTGTGTGGTTGTTTTCTAATGGGATATGAAAGGGTAAAGTA